TTCTTTTCTCATCTGCCCTCATTCATTCCAGCTTAACCTTAAAAACTGCGTCCTATTTGGTGTTCTTCATTTCCATCCCAATCTACTCTCTTGTCCTACAACTTACTATGCAATATCGCAAATTTCTGTGTTTTTTTTGGTTTCTGATGCCAAATTTCTGGCAAATACAGGGTGTCCGAGAAATATCCGGAAACATTTGTAAGGCGAATTTCTTCAGTTTTTTGGCGGTTACTTTTGCATGTAATGAATTTTTCCCATTCTGCTAGATGCTTCTGAGATAATTTCACAACAAACGCTTTGAAAAGCAGCTTGAGGCGTTTGAGCTAAGGCGAACAAAGTTCAGGAGATTTCCGGCCTCTTGCAAACGCCAAAAGAGACAGTTTCTTACGGCCTTCAAAACCCCGGAGAATCAAAAACGCTGCTGTTTTTGTTTGATCGATTTTGTAGAAAAATGTCAGTAGTACCTTTTACCAATTCCTGGATGGCCGGATTCGGTCTCTCGAGCAAGAATCGAATCGAATTCCCAAAAAAAGCGGTATGGTAAATACACGTCTTGCTTTCGGAAAGCGGTTCAGAAAATTGGCGGTCCAACTGGTGAGGTTTTTGAACAAAAACAAAGAACGTGGTGTCTACAGGGTGTCCCAAAAAAAGCACCCCCTCTAGCGGCGCGCAAACGTGTCCGATTTTCGCGGTTCAGGTATCTATCGAAAGCTCTCAAAAAGGCGAGAAAACATGGAGGGATCATTGTCTTTGTTATGTATTTTTATTGGCGAATTTTACCTCCAAAATCCATGAAAACGGCAGATTTACGCGAGATCCGCATGCTAATTTACGAGATTCCTATTGAAAAGCTACCTGTTTTTTTTAGAAAAACGCTGAATCTCGGAAGAATAAGAATAAATCTTAGAAAATGAAGCCCGCTTGTTTTCTCGCCTTTTCGTGGGCTTTCGGATGGTATCAAAATCATCCTGATCTGAGCTTCCCACGGACCGCTAGAGGGGGGTGCTTTTTTGGGACACCCAGTACTTGTGAGTTTGAATATAATTATGCGCCCCAATCTTTGTTTTCCATAAAAAGTTATTCCTTAAAAGCATTTTATCCGGGTATTTTTGGGACACCCTGTATTTTGTATGAACTGTTATAGATTCGGAAAATGTACGGCGAAAAGGTCGTCTCGGCGTTGGCAAACGCTTTCGATCGGCTACGGTTTCGGAAACGCGGGAAAGTGGGTGCCCGATTCCGAATCAACCAACTGCCCGGGCCCGCCATCTCGGCCATACTCGATCAACTAACGATCGATCAACTCTACACACTACAGCGCGTCAACCGCAAATTCAGGTACAATCCTTTATTTTTGGCCTCAAAATGGTTTAACTAAATCAAACAAATTTCAACAACACAACAACAACAACAAAATTAAACGTATTAAAATTTGTTTACCAAGAAAAAGGTTTTGTTTTTCCATTCGTTCTAATTCAATACTCAAGCTTACAATTAGTTTATGCTAGAAGCGGCGCGCCGTCCCCGGGGGTCAAATTTTGCCAGCTTTTAGTCGATATTATGCGTTGTAGGTATACAGACTGGAAATGGTTTCAGGTGCGCGGTGAATGAGCGATGGCTATTGCCGAGGAAGCTAGGATTGATGAGAATTGTGGGTGATCACGTGCATAACGAAGACGCCGACGTCGACAATAATGAACAGGTGCCAACACACTAACACTTTTTTTTAATATATCGTAGGATTTGTCAATTTTGGCTGTGAAAAGGTAGCGTTTGGCTAATTATTGCTAGTTACAAAATATCAGGAAGATCGGATGGCACGACATTTTTACCGCGAATTATTCCTTCGAAAACTGCTAATTTTCCGAACTTCACTTTGATACCTTACATGCCCCCCTCTCCAAAAAACGTTCCATTATGTTCCCCGGCAAAGTCCCCTTCTTTTCCCCCTTCAAGCCGACCATCCCCGGTCCAAAAATTGCTGCAAAATTCTTTGCTTTTTTCGCCAGTTGCAATTTTCCAGGGGTCTTTAAAGGGATACCCAAGGTTTTGGCGGCAAATATATAGTTATGTATTCCGGGTAAGTACAAATGACGCGCGAATTTTGTGCGCCAAGGGGCGCCCATTGCCGCACCGAATTCGGACACCTTTCCCTCTTGTGGCGTCCCCTCCCCTCCTCAATGGCTTGCCACTATGGCCTAATGGATAGCATCCAGGCCTACAAAACGGTGATCTCGGGTTCGACCCCCGCCCGCGGCTTGGTTTTTGCTTTTTGAGGCCCGAAGAGGTTGTGCACCCCTTTAAACGGGGGGGAGAACCGAATATCTAGAAACTGTTTTTTGAACGTTTTGAAATGATTCGTGAAAGCATCAGTCTGCAGATTTGGATGAACGATGACCGATACTGGTCGATATGCTCGCGAGATCGCGACCACTGTTGGATAGGGTTAAGAGGCCGGCGGCTGGAGATCTGGCTTGAGGCGAAACACGACACGCACTGGATGACGTTCACGTATGGCTGTTCAATGTCACCAGCATTCTCAGTTGCCTTCGGTTTACTTGACCTCATTTGCTATCATGATGTCGAAATATCAAAATGTAGCCAGTAGCCAGATTTTCCGGATCCGTATGTTCGGGACCTCGATTTTTTTCGCGAATCCGACAATCGGGAACCCGATTTTTCGCGGTATAACCAAAACCCGAAAAAATTCTTGCCTGGGGTGCCCGTTCTGCGGTGTTTTCACACAAATCTGAGCGTGATGAACACTGTTTTTCGAATTTTTTGCCAGTTAGTGACGCGATTTTCGAATGATTTGAGGGTGACTGGCGGGGGCGGGGCATGAAAAATTTTTGGGCGCCCCCCCCACCCCCGAAATCTCGGCTCCCGTACGGGTGTTTATATAACAAATGACCCTCGATTTCAGCGTTTCCGACGCGTGTTGCCGACGATTTCTCCATTTCTTCGAAACGTCGTCTTTTTCCACATTACGTCTCGACGTTAGGCTGTGCGCGCCAGAGGTGGTTTCATAAACTACCAATCAAGTTAAGGGCGCCACCTGCTATTCTGCCTCCCTCCTCTTTCCATTTTTCAAAGAATCTTTGCTGGCCTCTACAAAGGCCTCTCTGCCCTGGAATTGTTTCGGAACTTACAAGGGAACCACCTAAGGTCAAGGTGGCGTTTCGTTATGGGACCCAGCTTATTTTGTGCAGAATTTTTTGCTGATTTCGAATCCGCTCTTATTTTTTGCTAAATAGCCCAATTTACAAAGTTATAGCGTTTCAAAGTTCCATTTTCTCCCAAATTTTCGAACTTCAAAGTCATTTATCTCGCCTTTCCCGTCTGATTCCTCAAAAACAAATAACGCCATCGTATTCAGAAAGTTTTCTCTATCGAATGAGCTATTTAACTCAAAATTGTTGAAAATTGGAAAAATCGACTCCGTTTTTTGTATGGGAAATGGTGAAAAATTGCCTATTTCACACCCCCGTAAGTGATCGTCGATAAGTCGTAGCGCACTAATGAAATATACCAATCGAATCAGAAAAAAATTCTCTACAAGATAGGCTATTATAAATCGACTGCCCTATTAAAATAAAAAAGTTGGGCATCGTGACAGATGACTTCCCGCGGGCACAGATGTGACCTTAAAATCGCTATAACTTTTTAAATTGGGCTATTTAGCAAAAACTGAAAGCGGGTTCGGAATCAGCAAAAAATTCTACACAAAATAGGCTGGGTCCCATAACGAAACGCCACCTTGACCTTAGGTGGTTCCCTTGTTAGGCCCCAACCCCCGGTTCAATATCGCGAAATTTGTTTCATAGTCAACATTCCGGGCTGCGAACAGGTATCGTGGACCCCGCATTACCCCCAGCTGTACTACAACCCCCGGGAACTTAATAGGAACAACGAGGGTTGAAAAGCCGCTTTTCAAACCCGGGCACGTCTAGGCAAATGTCAAAAAGACCTTGCATATTCTGCCCGAATCCCGCTGACAACAATCAGAAAAATCCTTCGTGGGTTCATTTTATGGGCGACCAGCGTCCAAAACCCGCTTCGCGGGCCTTGGGCGCTGGAATGCGGCCTTTGCATGAGAAATTTGACTTTCCGATAGCTTGGGTCCTTCGGACCCCTCCCTTCATCCGACCACACCCACGCGTGCAATTTGCAAGAATGAGGAAATTTGTATTTTTTGGAATTTGCAAAGTAGACCTCCCTGGCGCCGGACACACACACACACACACACACACACACACACACACACACACACACACACACACACACACACACACACACACAGAGATACGCGACCAAATTATATAAGGTAGGATATCCACTTCCGACCCATGCAAATTTTCCCTGACAAAGGTCCTTTCAAAAAACATTTTTTTAAAATCTAATGGGGGCAGTCATCTCCAGTCCATTACGCACCTAATGATGTATCAAACATGCCGTAAAGCTTCTTCCCTGATCCGTTATGAGCGGAACATACATTCGGAAGTGGATGCAAATACACACACACCGACGGATTGGGGGGGTTTCAGTCATTGACACCCCGTCAATTCGGAAAGACACTGCTTTCAGCTGGATGCGGAGTTTGTGCATCGGCCCGTCAACACCATCAATCCACCCATTAATGTGAGTCAAGTTTCACCCTCATTCATTGCAAAAATTACCCCCCCCCCCCAAGCAGTTTGTGGAAAAGTAGTTTGGATAGTGCTTATTATACTTCGCCAACCACCCCGGGTGGTACCACCCCTAGGGGTGGTTGGGGGGTGGGGCGAGGGGTGGTTGGGGGGTGGTCGTGGGGGGTGGTTGGGGGGTGGTCAGAGTGGTGGTTGGGGGGTGGTTGGGGGGTGGTCAATGCATTAGCCACCCCACCCCACCCCTTACAAAATTTTTTCATGATTTGGCAATAAAAGCTTGTTCGAGTCAGGTATGCTCCCTCAAAAACAATGTAGCCGGAAGACCAAAAAGTTTTATTGCCAGATCATGAAAAA